TGAGGTGAGAAAATTAATTAAAGGATGATTTTAGGACTTTTAGGGCTGTTAAATCCGACAAATCTAATTGGAGAAATTTAGAATTTAAACGTTTCTAAATACTTTCATAGCTTTTAAAGCCAATTTATCAATCACCTTCTAATGTAGTTGAAACAATTTGTGTTGGACAAAGTAAAGTTCCTAGGCGAGACTCTCGATAGAAAACTTTACTCTATCACAAATTGTAAATCTAGTAAAGTAGCAATGAATTGATGTAAAAGATAAAAATCACAGCAAAACGATAAATAGAGTAAGACAAAAATACAATATATCAATTAATCTCTCTTTATGATTCAATGTTCTAATGAAAACAAAAACAAAAGATGCATTCTAACACCTATACTGAGATGATGTATATGTCTCGGTAGAAACAAAGTATATTACAACTTGTATGATCAATAGTTTATACAGACGTATTTGATAGAAAAAATACGACCAACTATTTTTTTAGGAAACCATAGTTAATATTGGTTCACATATAAAAGTTAAATATTTGTGTCAAATAAGATATCTTCCATATTCTATAAATTTTACTAATGAATGGTCTATTTCTTTTTATGTATAACATTGAATATGTCCATCAATTTGATATAAATGTTTAGTCTTATAATTTAGATAATTATTTATTATAAACACCAAATTTATATAATTAAATACAAAAATAATTAATAACTATAAATTATTGAGGTTAATTTTTAAAATCCACGCAACGCGTGGGCAATCCCTAGTATAGTATATACCTTACTTTTTCTAATTTAAAAGGTTGAACCAGAATAATAGTTGGTTTGGTCCACGTTCGAATTCAACTTCTACAACATCCAAGTGGAGTTTAACCTTCTAGGCAAGTCAATAGGGGTCCTTTGAAGATATCCACAACACAAAGTTTTGGAATATATTCCGTCCAATTATATGGAATTTTAGATTGACCCCTTCGAAACGAATAGAGGGCACCGTCAAAATCACACCCTTTATCATTGCCTAATCCTACTTTTCTTTGTTCTTCTATATAATAAAGTCAAACTAAATATCTTTTTGTTTTTAGGTCATCTTAAACCAAACGCATAATCAGCCGCCAAACATTTGGTTCATGCATTTCTATCTTGTGGCTTTTAGTTTTTAACTATAGAGTTGGGTCAAAGGTCATTCTAAAACATACCAAACCCAAGTCGTCTAATTCTTCTTCTAAGTTTGGAATTTTAAACGCAAACAAAAGACAAATAAAAAGCCATCTCTAGTCTTGACTATTCATGATAAGAAGACTTTTATAACACGTGCGTATATTACAAATTTGTGGTACTTTGTACAATGTCTCTACCTTTTTCCGTTCCCATCTTTAGCACGTGGTGATAAAGACAACAACTCATCAGCTGTTTTATAATAGTCCATGACTCACTCTATTCAAATTCATAATTTGGGCTTCAAATGGCCCAATACCAATAATAACCCAAGAAGCAACGAAAGCCACATACGAGCCTTATTTTAGTTTTCAAATGATGTATATTAGTAAATGACAATCAGATTCATATAAATCCAAACACATGTGATTCCTGGATTTTAAAACCCCACCGACAAAAAACACAAGATCACTATCAAAATACTAATTACCATTTCTTATGGTTACATCAACTCATACTCTCGAATAATAATAATCCCTGGGTTTACTTAATTCAAACAAAACGTAACTAATCACGATTTATAACAAAACAACAATACACATTCGAACAGTAAACACTACTACAAAACAGAGTCCCGTGGATGCGAAATTACGAAAATGCCCATGGAGAGAGCAAAATCCAATCTTCTTCTTTCTCTATTTCCGGCAACGAGTGATCGACGAGCAGCCTCGACGGTACGGATGCACCGGACCTCTTGCTCCGAAACAGTTATGAGTGTAGTACGATCTTCCAGATCTAGGTGGACAAGGGACTCGATTCGCCGACAATGCACCGTACGATATGTAGTATTTCGTCCTCCGCCAGTACAACGACCGTCGATCTACTCCACCTTCGTCGTCGACGTCTTCTTCTCCGGCGATGTCGAATGCGTCGCTGTTAGAGATGGGCCAGTCGAATCCGTCGCTTAGGAGAACGAGAGATGGGTTTTCGGGGAGAGATTCAGATCTCGGGAATGAAACGAAGAGAAGAGAGAGAATGATGAGGAGATTCAGAGCCGGAGCTGCCATGTCGATGTTGGAGACGAGAGC